AGCGATACTAGAAATCGTGGATTTCTGAAGAGGTTTGGGAATCGTCTCAAATGCCCGGGTTTGAATGACTAGTCTAATTACCCAAATCTGGCAGTAGCGATAAGACTACCCCCTAATTATAAAAATATATTTTGAATATCTATTGTGGGGGGGGGCCCCCCCCCTTTAAATATTAGGGGGAAGCGATTACTGATATCATCCACAGTTCCACAGCCAGGATCGGTGAAGCATGTCCTGGTATGTTTAAAGCCCAGCTGCCTGTATCATGAGCGTGGAGAAAGTGGAGAACACGCAGAAGATGCTGAAGCAAGCAAAGCCTTAGAAATTCTATCGGATCCGGATGGTGGCTTCGAGCAGTGATCGGGCGGGGTCTGGAAACTCGAGCTATCCTATGAACTCTGCATGGCATCGTCCCGGCCCAGACACCAATGCCCAGGCGTGCGGGGGCGACGACAATGCCACCCGCGCCGTCGAGGTGCCGGAAGAGATACCTTCTTGCAGCATCGCACAAAGATTTACCTTTCTGCCGCGTTCTCCTCTGCACCTGTCGCCTATTTGCAAGTTTGTGCAAATTCGAAGAAAAACTAGACAGCGATTATCCCGAAAGCAAGCAGAGCAATGCTTCCATGGCACGTGTATCTTGCAGCGTGTTTGTGTGACCAGTTTTATTAGCTTGAGTAGAAAGAAAGCCAAAAGCGCCGTGCGTGCGGATCGTAATAATGGTAGGGCGTACCTACCCCAAGCTGAATAGAAATCGATGTAAGCGTGCTATGTATGTGTATGCGTTGTATATGTGTATGTAGTGTAAGCATGCGTTATAAGTACTGTATATGTGTGGAGTGTAAGCATGCAAGGTTTATATGTGCAGCGCAAGCATGCAAGGTTTTTTTTCCAAAGCTAGCCAATGCACCGGTATAGACTGCATGCCGGCATGTTTAGTTCAAGACAGGCAGCAGCAGGAGGATGTATGCGAACATGTCTGGGCAAGCCCATTTGCTGATGAATTGCACGACCTGCACCGGAAGTCGTTCAAACATGATGCAAAAAACAACAAGCTGTGCATGGAGTACTGCAGCCTTTTAGACAAGTCCGCTGACATTCCGTTCGGGTTCCAATGCTGGGCCTGAATAAAGCGCTTGGATTTTTGTACTTGTCGCGGGTCCTTCCAAGGGGATCCAAGTACAGTGGCGCGACTTCCTCACTTGCTAGAATCACTCGTAGTGCAACTGCAACATCCCAGGCTGGATGTGTTGTCCTCACTGTCACGCCAAATCTCTGCCACAATCAGAGCGATGAGCTTCACGGAAGGAATGACCATCGCGTAAATCACCACCCTCGGAAGGCGCACCCTCCGAAGAGCCGCCCTTTAAGAAGCATCGCATTATGCAGATGCGAACAAGATCCTGCATGCTTCCGAAGCTGGTACGACAGGTGCTGCGGGCAGCAGTACAAGGCTAGGCTTCGCCTCACTGACGCACTTCGTCTCTTTGGGGCGAGGCGCAGAACCGCGCCCACGTAGCCGCCGGTTTGGCACAGCAGCTTCACCAAACCGAAGGTGGATTCGGCGATCGGGCCCGGTTCCCCGTCCACCTCCGTGGCTTCCATTCTACAAACCCTCCTGGCTCTAGGAAAACACAGCGAAGTTCAAAGCAGCCTCTGTCAGCAAGACATTGATACCCAGCATTTGCACACCCAGCAGGAACTCGAAGAGGTTTGAGACCAAGCCTGGTGCTTTCAGGTGATACAGCTTTCGCAGGTTTCTCAAGTTGCCTGATGCACTGTTAGCCGCCATTGGCGGAAGGCTACCACTTGGCAGATGTTTATGTGATTCATCCAGGGGGCGGTCCGTTCAGAAAGCAGAAACCGAACCTGCGCTAAACTTGCTACACATGACTACATTTTTGAGGCAAAACTGTTGCCTGTGCCTTCAGGACCCACCGACCACAGAATCATGTATGTGAAATGAAAGATCACTCCGTGCCACCAAGCCATCTCTCCTAAAACCCCGGTGCCCCCGAAGAGCCCTCAGTTCAGCTCCGCCGGCGTTCCTGGAATAAGGATGGCATAGCTGCCCAACAGCATCGCCAGACAAGTATAGGACGGCCGTGTGAGCACCTTCTTCGCTGGGAACAGCCTCGCTGCTGCAGGCGCTGGCTGGAAAACAATGCTGCAGGCATCATGCCGTTTGGCAGTTGCGGGGTTGTAACTCGCCAGGCTCTAAAACATCAGGCCAAATCCCGTAAATATCATTCTGTCTAGTCGCACATCTGCTGCGTAACCCATGCCGAGGACTGCTAGCAGCGCCCCGACGCACGTAACTACCTCGACATGCACTTTTGCAAGCAGAGCTGCAAAAATGGCTCGGGCGAAGCTTCCTGTCCGACCTGCCTGAATGTTGATCTGCCGGATTGAGGGAGGCGGAAGTTCGAACTTGTCCACTGCTCGATCACCTGCACGCACCCGACAGCATCATCGTGAAGCCCTGCAAGTTTGGAAGGTCATCTGCAGTTGGAAAATGTTGGAAAACTTGGCAGCTACAACGACTTACTCGGAGAATGCGTTCTTGTCAGTCAGCCCCGCTGCTCATCAGCGTACGGCTGGCCTAGCAGGGCCTTAGCCGCTGAGTCGGTGACAGAGCCGACCTTGAGACAAGAGGCTCTGTGCTCGAAGAGCCACGGGACAGCTCCGGGTTGCATGCAAGACACTACATCGTGAGCTGCAGAGGAGATCGCCTCTCCCGCAGACTGCAGAGCATCTGACAAACCTCCCCATGTTTCCTCAAGGGATGACTTCATTCAGTACCGCGTCAATGCGTCTCTTGATGATGTTAGTATCATGTGGCTGAGCACTTGCAAAGCTCCTGGTGCGCAAGTCGCTGGTGCGTGATGTGCGTCAGACTTCTCGCGCTGAAGGAATGCACGGCTGTCGCGGACGTCCATAGACAAATGAGGAAAGAGTACACTACCGGAGGCCTCATTGAGGCGAAATGGACACTCTAGGTGGGTGTTCCAGCCTTTGAGCCGACAGCCAACCGAGTAGCCAACATCGGCGTGTCTGGTAAGCCGTCAACACAAGCGGAACGAAACCTGCTCATTTTGCACTGCCGGTCCTGGTGGTGAAAGCACCCTGCAGTTTGCTTGCAACTACGACGAGGTTCTTCCTTCGGGATCGTAGAAGACGACGCCTGCAAGGTTTGGAGCCACGACAATTGCAAGAGACTAGAATCCCAAGTCTTCTTAGCCTAGTCACGTATGGTCTATCTGAGCATACCTGGACTGCATCGGAAACCTAACCTGCTCGAGCCTCAACTCTCTCACCCAAGCCTTGTTCCACAGCTGCCTGCAGCCAGGGAGGTGGTGCAGAGGCATCCTCGAAAGACACCTGCACAAAACTGGAGGCAACCGTGGAGGTAGTCATGGACCGAACCTGAACAAGTCATGAGTCACGCCGCGAAAACAGCGCAATTTATCAAGCTTACTCTCTCTCGAACATATTTCTCCCTGAAAGTTTCCAGCCCAGCCGCTCCAAGGGCACTCGCCGCGGCTAGCCATGGGGGCATTGCGCTTGGACGCATGGCCTCCTCCACCAGGGCTCAAACTCACAATCTGCAGTTCATTTCGGAGCTCGCATTCGAGATCACTCGTAGTTCCGGTTAAGGCTGCATACAGGCTTGGATAGCCAGCGCTCTCTCGTAACTGAGTGAATTCGAGGGTCTTCCCTAGCAAGAAAGGAGCCAAGTTTGGCACCCCTGGGATGCGCAGCTGACAAGCGTCGCCGCCCTCAAAACTTTTCTCCAAACATACTGCAGAATCGCCATAGCCGGAACGAGGGGCCAAACTGTACATGGCACCATCTGAGCGAAAGGAAATAAGCACTCAAGGTCCGGCATGCCTTCTCAGCCGTCTGCGGCTTGAGTATGTCTAAATGACAGATGCAACCACCAGTGGTGAAAGGCGGAGCTCGAAATTGTTGTTCGAATTGTACGGGAAACGATCAGAACCCTTGGTCCACGACAACAGGCCGCATTACTCGGCAGGCACGACCTCACGATGCATCCAGACGAGGTGACACAGCAAAGCACACCTCCAAAGACTTGCCAAAACACTGTAATTATGTGTGCTGCAGGCTTCATATGCGCCGTTGGACATGTCGGCAGTGACGTTCTTGTGCTTCTAGCACTGAGACAAGCCACCGGAATCTTGTCCAACTCTCCTCGGCGTGAAGATGAAAGCGCACGCCAGCTGACTCAACCCCAAGGCTTGATGCTCAGCGTAGCCGGCCAAAATGGCTTTCTGCAGTGTTTTTGCTCACGCAGTTGTTCAGGTCAAGTGGCCTTTGATGGCAGCCTCGATCCACCAACCACCGAGAAAACGTGTAACCGACTTCTTCAAGCCGTCGCCGGGAAAGAGCAGCTGCACATGCCCCTGTTTGGCCAGCTCCTCAAAAGCAGAGACGCTCAGGTGTTGCTTCTTGCCGCCAGAATCAAAGGCTGCAGGTATGGCCTGCAGCGCGCACTGCAAAGACAAAAAGGCGAGGCGAGGTGAGGTGAGGTGAAAGATGCAAGGTGAAAAGTACCTTTGACGAGAAAGCTGGAGGCATTTTGGCCCACACAGCAGTCACAGCAACGACAACGCCACAAAGCAAAAACAAACAGCAACAGCCGAATACCAAGAGACTACCCGAAAAATCCCGAAACGGACCACCATGTTAGCAGAGTGCCGCTACGAAGCCGGCAGCGAGCTGTGGAGCAAAGCTGACAAAAATTCCGGCAAATAGGATATGGACGGGAGCAGAAGGGACACCACTGAGCCAAAAAGTGAATAAGTTGACCGAAAAGAAGAAACACCGTCTTAACTAGAATTGCCATGCGGGAGTTGGCCACAAAGCATGGGGGTACCACCACAGTGCGTCTGCAAACCGTGGGCACCGCGCACTGTGCGCGAAAGTTGGCCTTGAGCCGTAAGGATCCCACTCTAGTGAGCGGGCCCGGGTACCTCTGCGGTGACAATCTGAGAATGCACGGCAACTGAGGACTTGACCATATCACCGCAGTGCCATGAATATATGTTCGGTGGGTCGTTCATAGCACTGTGACCCCATCGTCAAACCCTAATCCGACTGGATAGGCGCTCGCCGGTGCTCGTTGCATTTTGTGCTAAGTGCTGCCCTATGCGTGACCCAATACGGCAAACCAGCGCCGAAGGGCCCAGGTGTGCAAAAACACGAAAGCCAGCCCGCTGAGTTTGGATACTACGGCAGTACTGGAATGCCGACGTAGCCCACATGTTGCCGCGTCTGTCCTCGGGAGCTTCCATGACTTGGCATAGCTCACCATACTTCGCTTGGTCCCAGTCGGGCTGGTCAACCACCCGTAGCTTGCCTTACTAGGACTTGCTGGAACCATCCACCATGTTTCGCCTAAATTGAAGACCCCCGAGCATGCTGATGGCACGTGAAGAGACAGCATAACGGCATTCAAACCCGGCAGCATCAGCAACCAAGAGGAGAGGGAGCTCATTACGACAAGACATTCGATCTGTCCAGGCCAGTGGCTTCCCACACGCAGGTCCAGATGCAGCTGGGCTGTGGTAGACTTTCGACCGTCCCGGCCGTACGGAATGATTGCCTGCTGAAGACGAGGAGGAGCGGGGACTTACAGTGACAAGTACATCTCCTGGAGTCACGCTAGCAGAAGCCTTTGCTTTTGCAGGAGCACTCATTTGAGGGCAAGGCGTGCCTCCTGACGTCTCTGCGACAACACCGGCCCGGAAGCTACGTCGAGGTTTAGCAATGAAGCCTGGGCAAAAAGCTGTTGCTTTGCTTCTTATACTCTTCTCGGCTGAAGGGTGGCCGTGTGACAGTACACGTAGGACCTGTACGAGACATGTCTTGCTGGCAAGAACGACCGATCGGCAAATGTCTTGCCATATGCTGAACACATCTCCAGAGACATTGACAGGCATCGTGCGATGCTGTGGAAAGTCGTGTCAGCAGTCAGCAACAACAAGAAACTTGAACTTCCCTTCAAAGTGAAACCTGACCTAAACTTACTCTATGCCTTGCTGAATGTTACCTTGTGGCCGAGGGCCAGCACGCCTCCAGGCCTACACGGCCTGTTCTGGCCACGAGAGACAGCAACAGATGCAAATTCTTGCAGCTGTGAGTCCAGCTCCCTGAGGACATCGTCAAGCCGAGCAAAGATTCGCAAAGACGAGATCTTGTCGTACCTTGAGGACCGTCAGCCGATACACCGCAAATGAACTTCCATGCCTCCTGCCTGTCCAGGACTGTGCCCGCAATGCAGGGTGAATTCGAGACTCGGCAATTTTCTTGAGGGCTGTGCAATGGAGATTAATTAAGCTCATCAAGCACGGCAATCAATCGCAGCAATGCTGGATCGAACGGCTGTGCAGCACAAGCACAATGCTCGAGTCTGAGTCACTGTGTCTGCTGCAGTGCGACGATCACAGTTCCCAGTGCCTTCCAGCGGAAAGCAAACCCGCGTGTACATTCACTATCCACTCGTAGCCTCCGGACTGATTTAACGGACCACCACCACCACCATCACTATTAATACCACGAAGAACTGCTACTACACTACACATTGGAGGCCTGTAAATACTTTGTAAAGACCGTGTGGGAGAAATGAGGGAGGGAGGTGAGGGCGGTGGGGGTGGTGGGGGTGGTGGGGGTGGTGGGTGGGGGTTCTCCTTCCGCATCTGGACCACACACGCGGATGGCGGATGGAGAATCACGGGGCCATAAATGTGGCGGGCGAGGGGGGAAGGGCGCATGGATGCAGAAGAACCGCGGATCGAGGGTCGCAGGAGAAGGAAGGATTCACAAGGGGGGGCGGAGGGGGGAAACAAAAATCGTTAGGCCTGTGTAACTGTTTCTAAACTGAACCATTGGGGGGGAGGGGGGGAGGGGGGGCCCGCCGGGGCGCAACCATATATACATATATATATATATATACATATGTATACATATTTGCATGATTACATATATACATGTACACATGTATACATACATATTCCTATGACGGCATCTTCTTAGAATGCTGACCTTGTTGTCTGTCAGCATTCGCCCCTGCTCGAAGATTCAAGGCCACTCGTAGCCTCATATAAGGTTTAGAGTCCCTTCTAGTATGACATAGACATAGCCTTCCCAGACTGTGCAGGACGCAGAAAACTCGTGGGTAGGCTTTGACACAAAGTTCTGACTGCTACCCATAAGTACCTCGCGACTTGTAATACCAGTGTACCACCGGAAGCATTTTCAGGAGACCCCCCGCCGGTATGCGGCAACGCTATGCGGCACCACCGCACCAAGGGGCCGCCACGTAGCCCTCCGCCACCGCTACGTGGCTGGTGTGTGGGCTGCTGCAGGGCCTGCAGTCCTGCGCTCCTGCGGTTGCTGCAGCCTGCACGTCGTGGCCTCGCCTGCAATCCTACATTCCTGCGGTCTTTGCAGCTGCTCGACAGGGGAGGACATGGAAGGGACGGATTGGGAAACAACGAAGTGACTGAGAGAGGCAGTGAGGCACACAGACGAGGAAGGAACGAAGAAAGACAAAGAGCGAGAGCCAGCCAAACGGAACAAGCGAGAGAGGGACAAAGAGAGAGAGAGAGAGACAGAGAAGAGTGAAGGAAAGCGAGAGAGGGGGAGAAAGAGCGGGGAAGAAACAGAAACGGAAAGCTGTCAAATTGTAGAGGGCGGGTTTGAATAAGAGGGGAGGGGTCGGAAAAGGGCTTTTCGGGATCGAAGAACAGTGGTTGGGGGTTGGATAAGAGCTTTACATGAGGTCGAAAAAAGCTTCCTGGCGAGGTCCAGCAAGAGCTTTTGTGGGCGGGTGGAAAGCAAGCCCGGGTGGGTTGGATTTAAAGAAGGGGGGGAAAAAGGCTACAAGGGTGTAAGAAGCAAACAGGCCCTTTGTCACTTCGTCCTAACTTCTGACCACTGGCTACTTATCATGCACTACTGCTTCCTCTACGACTACTACCACTACTGCTGCTGCTACTACTTCTTCTTCTACTTCCACCACTCTAAAGCATGACATGACTCACAGAAGAACGGACTCACCTCTGCGGCATTCCCTGCCGACCTCTGTCCGAACATGCAGCCTACTCTTTGCGAAATTTTTGCAAACCTGAAGGCGCCTGCCCACCCCTCATCCCGTCCAGAACAGAGCCTCGTCTCGTCGCAAGCGCTGGGCACGCTTGGCCGGGGACACAGCCATGCGATCTGCATTCATTCCGACCTGGGAGACGGGAAGGGTCCTCAAGCTTCATGTCCTACAGACATATGCAAAGCAGTTTCAGCCAACCCGACCGCGCAAATGCGTTGTGAAACTGGTCTCTGCAGAGTTGCAACATGCCTCGATTAGACTGCATGCATGGAACACGACGCGATGGATGAGCGATGTCATGAGCATTTTCGCCCCCTTGTCACACCCTACAGAGACTGTAGCAAACATGTCGAATGCTGGTCGTAGCAAAGATAACCAAAATAAGAAAGCCTGAAGCCACAGAATAATTAACGACTGAAATATAATGCCTGCAAAGCCCATGAGCACGACCCCGGTCTGCGTCGCCCTAAGCTTGGCAAGCCCCACCAACGCAAACACTTGGCAGCCTGGGAGCCATGGAAGTCCCAAGTGCCAAACACAGGTCCGCGCGACTCTCCCAATCCTTGGGAGAGACGAACAAAACATTGCTGGCTTCAGATAAGGGGAAGCTGGCTAATTCGCACAGATTTGGGATCCTGTCCACTCTCTACAGCAGTCTACGGATGCGCGGCAGGCACGACCTCCACACGTACAGGTGTGCATTCAGCCCTTGTCTCGATAAGCAGCCAAGAATCCAGCATCCACTGAATCAGATCAGAACGGAGAGTTCCGTCCATTGGGACGACCTGGGCATCCATTCAAGCCACGACAGTTTCTGCGAAAATGAAGACGCCCTGTTGGTCTTGGGCAATTGCTGGATTGGAAGGGTCCCACCAAGCACCGTGGATCTCGTTGATGTCCTCACGGCTGAGGAATACAAGCAAAAAGTGCTGCCTCGTATCCTGCCCCACAAACTGAAACGTTGAGGGCTCCTTCTGCGGAAATCCTGCTTTCTGAGGCAGGCCATCATGATTCTGCTGCACCCAGTGTTTCAAGCTTCCTCGCAGCTTGTCACAAAAATGCTGCTCTTTGCTTCGGCGCATTAGCTGTCACGAAGAACAGAAACGCGCAATGTCGACGATAATTCTTCCAGAAGGCCACTCTTCCAAAGCGCGACGAGGACATGGTGAGCGTAGCCTTGCGTCTCTGACACAATCTACGACGATCAAGCTCAAACCCGCTAGGTATGGCAGACATAGGCACGGCAGACAAGTCTGCCCGAACTACTCAACATCTCAAAGCACAAGCCATCATCAAGCTGCGAAAGCCAGACATCAAGTCTGAAGATTTGTGATGCGTAAATGGACAGCACCACGCAACTCGGTTCCGCCAGCCATGGCGACTTCGCCGAAGAAGATGAGGACGAGGAGCTTGCCTGCTGGAGACATGCAAGCATTCTTACATCAGAAAACCCCGAATTCACACGCGGGTAGATGCCTTCGTTGCATAGTCTTTGATGCCAGAGGCCGTGCTGATGCCTGAAAGCAAAGGCACTCCATCGAGGACATGGTCACATCTACTGCTTGGGCAGCCAGGGCACCAGCGCCAGTGTAAGCAATGCAGTTTCGGCTTCGTGCTATGAGGTCAGCGAGCAACTTCCTCGGTTGCCAGTCGGCGCGGCGCCGACCGCTGACAGACAGCCCTTGTAGCTGTTAAGCCAAGCCAAGCCAAGCCAAGCCAAGCCAAGCCAAGCCAAGCCAAGCCAAGCCAAGCCAAGCCAAGCCAAGCCAAGCCAAGACACACTTTTGCCTTCAGAACTGCGGGTTCATCCAGATACTCGTGCGCCTGTGCTGCTAACGTCCTCTCTCTGTTCGTGACGCCGAGCCCGAGCCCACGCTGCCTTCATGGTCTTGTATCCAGGTCGGGCTTCCTGATGCGAAAGATGAAACATCCGGGTCAGTCGGGCTCTTGCAAGAGCCACGGTGCCTCATTGCAGGCACTTGCCAGTCGCGGCAAGGGCCAGTTGGGATCGCCCAAGAAGCCGTGCGCTGACTGACAGCACGATGCGGCACGCCGACGGTTCCCTCCTGAAACCAAATCGCACCTGCGGGTCCGCATCCAAGATGCTGCCAACCTCGGGCTCTGGCTCCTGAAGGCGGGTGCGGCTTTGAAGCTCTTTCCAGCAGGAGCAGACGGAACACGAAGCCACTAAGTTTAAGCCAAAAAGCGAGAAAAGAAAGACGAAAGGCAACCGCAACCTGCAGCTTCTGCAGGCGACATGTCAAAGTCAACGACGATTCATGACGATTCTTCAGTGCCTCTTAGAGCATTCGGGTGTCGGGCCGGATAGGACTTACTACAAGTAGATTGTGCAAGCGTAGACCCCAAAAAGCGCACCTAGCAGCCGAATCCGTTCCACCCATGAGCCCAAAACACTTATCACACTGTGGCGACAGGAGCTCCACGCCAAAATGTGTGCTGGAAGGACAAAAAACCATTTTACACCGAACGCAAGACCTCCACAGTGAGTTACCACACTGTCTGGGTTCAAGCCCTCGTGTATGAAAGTCTCCTCCTCGTCTGCGCCACCGAATTTCAGTCGTTGCATTCGGGCGACCAGTGGGCCAAGCACCTCCGGCGACAAAGCCCCGTAGAGATGGAAAATATGTTTGGGTAATATGTGTCAATTCCAACACGATGTTCGCCTGGTTGTTCCTAGCAATCCCTTGCCCCTTTCCTTCCTCTGCTTTCCCTCCAGCTCATGCGCAGCATGATCACGCACATGTTTTGTCCGATGCTTGCGGCAAAGAATGTGGCATGTCAGGGGTCATGGATAAATTACTCGCAAATGGGGGTCGAAGCCCCACGTTGGCGTGAGGTCATAGCGTCATTGCGGGTGAATCAATGGTGAATCGACGGTCTCATTCAATCTTGCTTTTCCTGCGTGTGTTGGAAACTATCAGTTTAACGAAACTCTCCATGCAAGCATTATTCTTTGTGCGACTTTGGACTCACTAGGTCACTAGGGGTTTTGCATCCTTCTGGTTCATTGTGCTTCTTTCCCTGTGCCATAGTTGTGTTGTTGCGTCCTGTGTTTCGAGGGAGCGTGCAGACAAGTGCAGCATGGGTTTAGGTCCTGAAATACAAAGACTCAAGCACTAAGACCCAGCCGCTGCTACACTCACCCACACCTAAACCCTTACACCTATAAGCCCTAAACCCTAAACTGCGTCTGGCTGGCTGACGACTCACGCACCCGCTCGGCGAAGTTAATCTGTGTTGCGCTGTAAGTTTGCATTGGCTAGCAAAGTCAAGGAAGCAGAGCCCATTCCCACCGCAGGACCCTCCAGGCGAGGCATGTTCCAAGTTTTGTCTGGTTTTGATACTCTCGACCTGTGAACCTCACCCCAAACCTGTGAACACCTAGGGCGTTTGGTTCTACACACAAGCCACGTTCGAAGTGTTCAGCGTGGACGGAAACCGAGAAGAATGTCACAATTGACCTCTTGTTTGCTGGGTCGAGCCAGCAGGACTAGAAGAACACAAGACAGGGAATCATGGAAGTAACCATGAAGATGACTTTTTCTGGGAATGCCAGCCAGGCCCTGGCCTATTGAAAGCACAACTGACCTTCGCAGAAAAGGGGCTCTCCAACGGAAAGGACAGTGGGTCATATGCTTTCGGTGATGATTGGACGGAATGGAAGCAGCCACTGCTGGGCCACCGACGCAGCTGGCTGAAGGCACAACGTTAGTGTGACTGACATACAGAAGGCACGAGACGATCTCATTTTGGAGATGAAAAACAAAGCCAATTCAGGCACATGTGTAACTTGCGCAACGGGTGCATGCTCGTGTTCGTGGTTCTACAGCTTCGTTCTTCATGTGCCAAGCACCAACAGGATCGTGATCAACCACTCCAAAATATGCACGGCGGTTCAAGAAATTGTCACACTTACGCTGCTGATCGTGCCGATGATCACGGCTCGTTTCTGATTCTGTGTTCCTCATCTCTGCTCCTGCTCCCTAAAATTCTCCTAAAGCATCTTGTGACAGTCTTACGCTTCACCACCCGGCCGACACTAAACACCCAGAAGAAACATCCCTTAAAAAGGTTGGCTGAGATTCGCTGCGCCTAGTTTAGGCTTACCGTGTATTGGGCTAAGGTTAGCATCAGGTCCGTCTGAACTGCTGAGCTTTCGCGCGGCCTCGTGGTCAACGTAAGACTCACATGCATAGCACCATACACTGAGATCCATCAAGCCCATCGCCAGGAAATGACCTGACATTGAAGGCCCAAAACATGTTCGCTTGCAAAGGAAGGCATTGAGAATGTTGCGTGTCCTTTGCCCACCATTATCTTTCTCGCTGCCTTTGCTTTGGAGGTCGGCCTTGTCAGGCCACTGTACTGTACATATCCAGAGGCACCGAAAAGCCTCCGGACGACTTTACAAAGTGCAAGACCTATTCCTGAACCTCTTCGTGCAAGTCCTGTCCAGTGACTGGTGCACATTGTCACAGGGTCACTTGTGGCTAGTGGCATGTGGCAGGGGCCACCCTCGGAAGAACGCGGCCGCCTTCTGCCACTTCAAATTAAATTAGTCTTGGCGGAGGCTGCTCTGGATCTGAGATGTTTGAGCGCTTGAACTTCATGACAAAGAGATCTTCACCGCCACTGAAGTTGCCATTATCAGGTTGCCCTTGCGTCGAGCCTGCCAAGAAGACGTCTCCGGCCGGATTGACCCGGAGCGCACGTGCATAATCCCAAAGTGGAGTTCCCCTCTGCTCGGTCCACTGCCAAGAACCAAAGGGATCAAACATCATCACAAACACATCCGAGCTACCGGCAGTGTCATGAGCATCCAATGAGCCTCCGGTATAGCCGGCGACAAGAATGTTGTCCAAGTAATCGACTTCTAATGCCCAGGCCACGTCAAACTTCTCGGTGCCACGCTGGCGGCTCCACTGCCAAGCCCCGTCCTCGGAGAATTTCATCAAGAAGATGTCCGAGCTTCCCGCACTCTCTCCATGAAGAGCACCTGATGTCTCGCCAGTTATGAAAATATTTCCTGCTACATCCGTACCGAGATCGAAAGCATCATCATCTGCAATGCTACCTTGCTGACGAGTCCATTGCCAAACTCCATCCACGCCGAACTTGGCGAGGAAGACATCTTTGCCTCCTGCGTTCTCATTGCCATCCAAATCGCCTCTGGTGTATCCCGCTACCAGTACATTCCCTCGCGCATCCAGCCGCAGAGCACGGGCATAATCCCAAAAGGCGCTTCCATGCTGCCGGGTCCAGAGCCAGGATCCACTTGGATCAAGCTTCATGACGAAGAAATCATAGCCTCCTGCGTTGCGGTTGCCATCCAGCGAACCCCCTGTGTACCCAGCCATGTAGATATGACCAGAACGATCCAGCTGAAGGGCGCGACCGTAGTCCCAGTCGTTGCTACCACGCTGGCGTGTCCAGAGCCAAGACCCATCCTTGCTGTATTTGGACACAAAGAGGTCGGAACCACCCTGATGGACATTGCCATCCAGCGAGCTCATTGTGTAGCCAGCAACAAAAATGCTTCCCAAAGGGTCGATTTGGAGGGCTCTTGCATTGTCTGATTTTTTGCTACCCCGCTGACTTGTCCATTGCCATGTGCCAGAACTGTTGAACTTCATCAGGAACACATCATTTGCTCCAAAGTGCGTGGTATTGCTGAATGACCCAGCAACATCTCCAGCCACTACGATGTCGCTTTCAGCATCCAGTTGCAAGGCCGTGGCATAGTCCCATTCACTCGTCCCGCGCTGGCTGGTCCACTGCCACGTCAAATCGGCACCCGAGCTGCAGAGCCCAGCAACAAGCATCAAAAACCCCAACTCGGACATGGCTGTGACTATTGCGTGTGCGACGCACGTGTCTGCAGGCTTGCTGCGGCAACTCAGACAAATTACAGCTCTGCTGGAACCTCAAACTCCGACAGCCCGAGCAGGTGGTATCAGGTGGTGAACAGGACCACTTCAAATCTCGGAAGATTCGGATGGTTGCAGCTTCTGCTACCGCACCCTGCCTCGGCGACAAACTCCAGCTGCTGCCTCTCCTGACATTTTTTGACCGTCTGACCGAGTTTCCGAAGTCACGACGATATGACGACTTGAGTCTATGAACCACATGCGCAATTAGAATTATATGTGTTCAAGTATGTTTGTTTTTGTTTTTGCTTTTTGGCTTCTCGGCTTCTGGGCTTCCTTCCTGGTTTGCTGTCCACTGTGGATGACTATGTAACTATAAATCTGGATATAAATAGATATGTCCTTTTGGCACTCGCGCTCGACTAGGTCAGGAGAGGTGTTCAGCGAACTAAACCGACAATGCAGAGTCTTCCCAATCCACCACAAGTACAAATGACTTCTGCATCAGACTCAGACTTCCTGTTTTA